GGGCGGGAGTCCTGGCCGCTGGAAGATGCGGCCCAGCGCAGGGAGGGCAGAGCTGGCGTTGCCCTGCCCGGGCATGCGTGCGGTAGGGAGGTGTTGCAGGGCTCCAGGGTTAGAAACGTTAGCTTGCTGGTTAACTTTTTGCATGACCGTTCCCGCACAAGAGCTTAGCTCTTAACAGCTGTAGTATAGTAAAGATTCGTGTTGGACTTTCTTCAGATGAGAGTGGTAGAGTGGTCATATTATCATCTCAGGGAATCGTCTTGCACACTGTTATTGTATTTTCATACATAAATTGATGATTACCATGACTGGGAAGGTGGGCCTACTATAAAATGCAGCCTATGTTGGAGTACTTCTCAAGGCGTGTTTCACACGACATCTGTGTGCATACTACCTGCTTTAATTTCACTTTTAATTTTTTGTTTTATTTCCAGGAGGCAAAACAGTTTTCAGGAGCATAGGTGCTGTTAGACTTAAATTCACGTTCTTTCATTCGTTCATGAAATTTTTGGGGGGACTTTTGTATTACTGTTGTCTTTGGAAGTCTTGATGTACCTTCGTGCAATGTTTGTCACGAAAGAGCTCTTAACATAATGTGAAACCCTGTTCTTTGATTCTCAGGTCTTTAACTTACCAGATCAGATAGCAAACAGTGAAATGATCATAGATCTGTGATTGTCATCCAGCTGGAAAGAGAGGAGAATACAGTTGTTTTCTGATACCTGTGCCAAGGATTATTTTTGAGCTTTGTCTCATGACGATTTAATATTCTGAAACAGTCGCAGGAGCAGTAGCCGTTACAAGTTACCATGCATTGTGCAGATAGAAAAGGCACACGATTCTTGGCTTTCAAGTTCACGCTGTGAAACTGAGGCTTTTAAGTTCATCTTAGACTCTGGTCCGAAATGTCCTAGTAGTCCGTTCTCAAGTTCCCGTGTATCATTTTTTTCCTCCAAATCTGTTTGCATATGGTATCTAATGTGTCTGGGACTGTTAGTTTTCATAATATCAATAAGAAAGCAAAAAGAAATGTCATGATAATATGCAGAATATCCAGTAGTTTCTTTTAAATGGTTCACAATTGCATTTATGAATTTCAAAAGATAAAGACCTGTGTTCCGTATTATTGAATTCCTGGCTTGAATTCCACCAGCAACTGTGGAACTGGACAGTTCTGAGGTAAATAGAGATAAGTTTTAGGTAGCAGTCAATATCTTTTGCATTCTATAATCATAATATCCTCATCTCTTCTTGCAGTGACTAAATTACTTTTGCTACTTCTTAATGAAAATACACCTTCATTTGGGATTCTTTGCACAGCTTAAATCCACAATATTCCAAACTTTTTGAAGAGTCTTCCTGTTATAGTGCTCTCCAGGATGTGCGCTCAGTCTCAGCTGTGACATTTCAGCCTTCCTGAATGGAGGCAATCTATCAGGAAGAATGTACGTTCAGGAATTAAGTTAAAACACTAAGTCACAATTTGTTCTACACCAAAGAATAATTCTTGTTTACCTTTTTCTATTTTGTAAAATTCGAAGCCAGTAAATATAACTGGCATATTCCTACAGAAAGGATGTGTGTTAATCTTCATAAACATTTTCTAATACAAATTTACTCTATATACTTTCTTTTCCAGTTAAATATCTTGTGCCCATGATAAAGAGGAAAACACTAGTATCCAAATAAAAGAATGTAAGTAAATTGTAGGAATACATCAGAGAATTGTTTGATGTGCTTCAAATTACCTCTTTAAAATAACACTGTCAAACTGTACATAATCAAAGTTGAAGGGATCGAGATTAGGTTAAAAACTGAAGTATTACTGATAATACATTAGTCAGTCTTATTTTAGTCAATTATGTAATCTAAGTATGGTATCACTGTTAATAGACTGAGCGAATTAAATTGGCAAGTGGATGTATACACTTCTCGGCTTTCTCAGGGTATTCAACTGAAGCTGAAATCTGGGAATATTGCAGCTGTTTGACAAACAAAGCCTTAATGATAGATATGTTTTGGTAACCAGCAAGTTACCAAAGCAACCTTCTTAAGTTTTCTTTTACAGTGGCAGTTTAAATATATACTGTGTAAATATAACCAAGGTTGTGATTAGGCTGATTATTTTGTAGAAGGAAGGCTTTGAAATACTGCTGAATGGCTAATGCAACTATTATTTGCTTTTGTTTCTTCTTTTTTAATTCTGGGAAAAGGGAGCGAAATGAACGTGGTTTTTTATTAATAGCTTTTACGATTCTCTTCAGTTACATATGTATCTTGTAAACTCAATCTATTCATGCTTCATGCGTAGCAATGGATTAATAATATGCCAGCGAGTCTCTCCAGAGAGACATAATCCTTTGCAAGTCAGCAGGACTTTACATGGGCACAGAGTTCTTCCTTCATGGCCATGGGCACGGCATGACAGAGAATGCTTAGGGTGAATGCTGTGTTTCCAACACACCACTGTTCGCAACTCAGTATGAAGTTAATTTACTCTTTCAACTTGCATTGCGTTTGTCACTATCACATCTGAATACAGTGCATGTAAAATAAGCATCAGTTTATGAATTAAGATGACATCGCTTTCCTCAAGAAAAAAAGCTGTACAATAGCTTGGGTGATTGCATAAATCGACTGTGTCAGATTGTGAGGCAACACTTCACAACCCTGGCCAAGTTGCAATGATAGTTTTCATGGAAAATTTACCTTTCTCTCAGTTCATTTTTTTCATTAGGATCTGTACTGTTACCTTGTTTTAACAGCCTCATGTTTTATGAAATTCTTTTATAATTCTCTATATGCTTCTCTGTGTACCTTGTTATTGCAGTATGTTCATCCCAAATGGATTCGAGAGGGTTGCAGTTTCACTTACCATGTTGTTTTTCTGACAGATGGTGTCCTCCTTACCCATTTTTAACACTTGTTTTCTTCTATGTAAATATGGCAAGCTCACTATAACCAGAACCATAATGGTTTTAAAACTTTTTTCACATATCAAGTTAATGCTTGTTTATCCTCAGTTCTGAATATTTAAACAGCATGATGCTTGAATCTTTACAAAAAAATGATTCAGAGCATATGTACTTCTAAAGACCTCATCATTTTGTACAGAGAGCTGCTAAGCATGCATAATTTTTGAAAATAACGATTTCTTAAAATAAGGAATTCTGCCTTTGCAGTTGAAATGAGTTTTCACTCATGGCAGGTTGATAACAGATTCACCGGATTCCTTAGACATAAATAAAACTCTGTTTTTAGATCAGAGATTATCTGAAGACAACTTATGAGGTAATTTTAGAAAACTTAGAGGAAGAAATTGCTGGGATACCATGAATTGCTGTGCCACCTTCATGGGAGGCATATGTAGTAAAGTATGAGTTAATTCAATGCAATCCATGTTACAGGAGTTTCCTGTCTTGGAAATTACTAAGAGTTGTTGAATGTATTCATTAAAATTAAGCACAGCAGATCTTATTTGTAACATTTTAGATTATAACTGTTGGGACAAAGATCAAGATATTTCTGATGTAGAGTGAAAATTATTTTAATGCATTTGATAACAGAAACTGTATGCTTACTTAACAATTTAAAAGCATTATTTAACTTTCTGTACTTTCTGTGTTAGTGTACTGTAAACTATGCAGTTGTAGTTTTCCAAAGTCTTGGTTGCTGTTAATTAATAGACTGCTAAGAAGCTTTCAGATGATGTTATTGTTAATATATACAACATTATAGATGTTAACCTGGGAGAGAAGCCCTTTTGTGGAAGCACGGGCGTGCTGTGTGCTAGGAAGCTCCAGTGATGAAGGTATACGTTGGACATAGGAAGACTGCTGTGTTATTGTTCTCGGCCATCTCATCATCTTAAGCTGTCTCCGAGGGTTATTTTTCCTACGTATTGCTGAGAAACAAACAGTTCATTAAATTTACGGCCTATTGCTTACCCACGGATTGATTGTTCTTTAGAAAGCAGCGTTTCTCACTAATCATCAGTGTGTTTTGTAACCTCTGAAGGAAAGCAGTAAAGAAGATGACTAGGCTTTTCTCTTGTATATCTTTCTTTGGGCTGAAGTACTATATTACATATCTTAAGACAAAATTCCATATGATAGCTATAAAAATCTCATTCAGAATTTGACAGGGTATCAAGTAGTACAAAAATAATAACTAATCAGGAATCAGATAACCTCTACCAGCTGTTCTGAGATGCTCTGAATTGTACGTATATTTAATTACTTTTACTTCTGTCAGGAGTTTGACTTTGAGAAGGTGTTCTTGTGTTAAATATGTAGACAAACAGCATTAAGAGTGATCTCTCAATTTATTTGGTACTCTTGTCAGTCTCAGTCCATTTCTGTATGAAACTGAAGCTCATTGTGTTAATGTCTCCACATTTATCAATCTGATATGAATAGAATTAGGTATGGGGTCAGTATAGTTTTTATATTCTTATTCTGTTCATCTAATCTTCAAGATATACATGAAAGAATAAAACACACTATTTTTTGCCCTGCAGTTCTCCTTCTTGTTGCTGCTGTTTTGAATCTACAAGCCAAAGAATTGGAAGACGTTGAATTGTAAATAAACAGGTCTTTTGCAGTCTGGCAAAATGGCTGATAGTCCAAGCTGTGATTTGAAATCTCTGAGTCCGCTTCAGCTGTTTGAAAGAGTAACTGAACAAGGAGAGAAAGTCAGAGCACTGAAAGCAGGAAAAGCACCAAAGGTATTTGAACCCATACTTTTTCAAGTTAGGTCTGTCTTTAAGAGCGCTGGAGAATATGATTGTTCTGAGATCTATTTTGTATTGTAGTAAGAAAAAAATTTTGTTAAAAAATATTTATGTCCATTTTGTGAACTGTGGACGTACCTGGAGCAAGGTAGTCACTAGCAAGAGCAAAGTTGTTACTGCTGAAGTAAGAACAGAGTCTCGTAGGCCTAGAAGTCTGCTTCAGCCAGTTGCCGTGCTACGTGGTGGGATCCAAGGTATTTGGTTTTCAAGTGAAATTTATATCACTTGTATTCTGCCCTGGTTTTAGATTCTTTGTTAAAATCTCTTTCTCCGTGCATTATTGTACACATTAGCAAATATGTCTTCCCGTAACTGTACTGACAGTCCCTGCTTAATCTCCCTTAATTAATTTAGTAATTTGCCATTAATTGCAAGTTCCCTATTCTGTCATCACTATGTCAGCAAAGAGAGCTCAGTTTTAATACGGGCTCTCTTAGTGTATTGCCTGTGGGAGTAAGCCTTGAAAACTGGGAGTCGAATAAAGTGTTGATCTATTTATTGCTTGCATGAGATGTTACAATAGCTTTGTATTAAAAAGGTGATAACAAAGAAAGTTGTAAAGAACTTTTTGTTCTAGTTTGTCTTCAAGTCTGTCAATGAATTGTAATGAATAAATTATTTTAAGATGAGCCACTAAAAGCATTGTAAAGTAAATTGGATAATAATTTATATTATATTTATATATCTTAGAAATTTGTGCTTAAAATGTTAAGCATGTTACACATCTGAAAAGCAGGCAAGCATTTTTTTTTCCTCAGGCAGAAATTGAAAAGTGAGACAGAGGTGCTTTAAATATCTTGGCAATGGTGATGCTCTAAATTCTGCCGGTTAGGAAATGGTCACCTGCTATTTGCTTTTCTTTTACCTTTGGTAGTGATGCTGCAAATATGTAAATAAAGGCTTAGAGTTTATGAATAATGCAATTCAAGTTAAAGCATGGATGCAGGATTTTGAAGGGTTGGGACATTAATGTAATTGTCTATCTTACGTATGTTAAGTCAAACAGCTTTTTTTTCCTTTATTCAGGATGAAATTGATGCAGCAGTGAGGATGCTGTTATCATTAAAACTGTCATATAAAACAACAACAGGGCAAGATTATCAGGCAGGCTTGCCTCCAAGAGATCTTGTATTAATAAACAATGGTACAACTAAAGAAGAGGATGAGGATTTTGTGGACCCCTGGACTGTGCAGACATCAAATGCTAAGGGCGTGGATTATGACAAACTCATAGGTATAACTCTTTCTTCACTACTACTAAGAAATTTATGTCAAGTGATCCTAATGACCACAAAAACAGCAAGGGATCGTAACAAATCCTGATCAAAACCATCATAGGTATCATTTAATTTATGTCTAATCTTAGCACGCACATGTCTAAAGAATTTGCTGTAGGAGTTGAAAATGTCCCAGGCAGGGACCTCCTATGGAAGACTTAAATACTTTGCAAAGAACTTTTCAGGTCAAAATAAGTTTTACTTGCGGTTTGTTTTTTGGCATAAGAACTGTTATTAGAAGTTATGTTAATGAAGACACTGTGACTGAGTATCTGCATCTTCAGTGGCTGTGATGCAGAACAGCTAGATCCTAGAGTATTCTGACCAGGCTGTAGGATTCTTCATACCATCTCTCTGCATCTGCCTTGACTTCTGAATTAGGGAGAGCAGGGATGATCCAAAACTAATGCAGAAATCTATAACTGTAATAACTCCTTCACAAGACACACTATCAAGCAGCCAAGTGCTGGCTGGGATGAAAAAGATGCAGCGTATTTGAAAAACATGCATGTAATGGAAATTTTTTTAGTCAGGGATGTTACAAAACTTGTTTGTAGTTTTGTAATTTAAGAAACAGGGCTTTAGTTAATTTCCTTATTTGTTTTACAGTCCACTATTGTTATAGCTTGTTTGAGTCTAGCATAGAAACAGGTGAGAGAACTATTCATTAATTTTTACTATTTTTGCCCTTTTTTTTTAATTATTGTCAATCTTCAATTCATATTTAGTACCCCAGTGAAAATTCTTTAACAGAGGTACATTGCTGGTGTCTGCTTAGTAGCTTGTTTCTCACTATAGAACATACACCCTTATGTGGCAGTAACCATATATTTGCTTTTGGGAGCTCAGCTGCTAGTGTCAGCAATTCTGTGACTTATTATTATGACTCACAATTCAGTGTGATGTTATTGTAAGATCATGTCAAATGTATGTGCAGAAGGTAATAGGAGAAAGAAAAAGTTGGAAAGGGAGAAGTGCGCTAAGAAAAGCGCATGGGGAGGTTTAGATTGGATATTAGGAAAAATTTCTTCACTGAAAGGTTTGTCAAGCATTGGAACAGGCTGCCCAGGGAAGTGGTGGAGTCACGCAGTGAGGATGCTGTTATCATTAAAACTGTCATATAAAACAACAACAGGGCAAGATTATCAGGCAGGCTTGCCTCCAAGAGATCTTGTATTAATAAACAATGGTACAACTAAAGAAGAGGATGAGGATTTTGTGGACCCCTGGACTGTGCAGACATCAAATGCTAAGGGCGTGGATTATGACAAACTCATAGGTATAACTCTTTCTTCACTACTACTAAGAAATTTATGTCAAGTGATCCTAATGACCACAAAAACAGCAAGGGATCGTAACAAATCCTGATCAAAACCATCATAGGTATCATTTAATTTATGTCTAATCTTAGCACGCACATGTCTAAAGAATTTGCTGTAGGAGTTGAAAATGTCCCAGGCAGGGACCTCCTATGGAAGACTTAAATACTTTGCAAAGAACTTTTCAGGTCAAAATAAGTTTTACTTGCGGTTTGTTTTTTGGCATAAGAACTGTTATTAGAAGTTATGTTAATGAAGACACTGTGACTGAGTATCTGCATCTTCAGTGGCTGTGATGCAGAACAGCTAGATCCTAGAGTATTCTGACCAGGCTGTAGGATTCTTCATACCATCTCTCTGCATCTGCCTTGACTTCTGAATTAGGGAGAGCAGGGATGATCCAAAACTAATGCAGAAATCTATAACTGTAATAACTCCTTCACAAGACACACTATCAAGCAGCCAAGTGCTGGCTGGGATGAAAAAGATGCAGCGTATTTGAAAAACATGCATGTAATGGAAATTTTTTTAGTCAGGGATGTTACAAAACTTGTTTGTAGTTTTGTAATTTAAGAAACAGGGCTTTAGTTAATTTCCTTATTTGTTTTACAGTCCACTATTGTTATAGCTTGTTTGAGTCTAGCATAGAAACAGGTGAGAGAACTATTCATTAATTTTTACTATTTTTGCCCTTTTTTTTTAATTATTGTCAATCTTCAATTCATATTTAGTACCCCAGTGAAAATTCTTTAACAGAGGTACATTGCTGGTGTCTGCTTAGTAGCTTGTTTCTCACTATAGAACATACACCCTTATGTGGCAGTAACCATATATTTGCTTTTGGGAGCTCAGCTGCTAGTGTCAGCAATTCTGTGACTTATTATTATGACTCACAATTCAGTGTGATGTTATTGTAAGATCATGTCAAATGTATGTGCAGAAGGTAATAGGAGAAAGAAAAAGTTGGAAAGGGAGAAGTGCGCTAAGAAAAGCGCATGGGGAGGTTTAGATTGGATATTAGGAAAAATTTCTTCACTGAAAGGTTTGTCAAGCATTGGAACAGGCTGCCCAGGGAAGTGGTGGAGTCACCATCCCTGGAGGTATCTAAAAGATGTGTAGACATGGCACTTAGGGACATGGTTTAGTGGTGGACTTGGCAGTGTTAGGTTTGTGGTTGGACTCGATGATCTCAAGGGTCTTTTCCAACCTAAATGATTCTATGAAAAATACGTCAGTGGGGGAGAAGGAAGAAGGATAATTGTTAGAATCTAGAAATGGTCAAGATCTCTCATCATCTTCTTACTTGTGTCGGAGGTATGGAGAAGGTTTTTTGTTTTTCTGGGCAGGTTTCTAAGTCTTGTAGAATAATGGGAAGAACAGAATACTTGTGTTGGCACAATCTCAAGGTCTTTCTGAGAACGACTAGCATGACTTCACTGTAAATCAATTCTCTAAAGCCTAACAGCAATGTCCTTTTTTCTAGTAACTGTTTGTGTATGTGTGTCTATGTATGGCCTTTTGATCTACCCTACAGTGGTGAGTTGGGCTGAAGAATTTTTACTTATTTACACTGCTAGCAGATTGGGGAGTTTGGTGGATGAGTCATTTTGCTTGTTCTAAGTGATGTGTTGGAAATTTTTCAGAGAAGAATGCTAGCCTAGCCACTTCGGGAAGTGAAACAGTTACTGCTTGTTATTGATAAACTTCCTCCTCTTCCTCCCCCTTTTAAAAATAATAATAATAATAAAAAGTTTTGTCCAAGAACTTGACATCTGATAGGTCTTACTGTAAAGGAAATTTTTATGCCACCTATAATCTGTTTATTTACTAGTGGTACCAGAGAAAGTTGCCAGTATGTTTGCGTTTACTCAAACATAGAAGAAATGAAAGTCCTAAAAGCACAATGTAAATGAAAGGGATATTTTTCTCAAATGGTTGTCCTAGACATGCACTTCAGTGTATGGTTACACAACAAAACAGCCTAAAGATGTTCTGGGAAGAAAGGTTCTGCTAGCGAAGTACCAGATGTGAACATCCCTAGAGAATTTTTTTTTTTTGTTTGAGCATGAGCAAAGAGCAAGGGGATGAGTGAGAAAGAGCTTTGTATGCTAACCATGCTGATACTTCAGTGAGCTGAATATTGCCAGTGATACAAAATGATTGAAGTTGGCGGGGATTTTTGCAGATCATCTAGTCAACTCCCCTACTCAAAGCAGAGTCAACTAGAGCAGGTTGCTCAGGACCTTATCCAGTAGGATTTTTATTATCTCCAAGGATGGAGATCCCACAACCTCCCTGGGCAACCTGTTCCAATATTTGACCATGTGCATAAAATGAAGGTTTTTCTTATGTTTAAATGGAATTTCCTTTATTTCAAATTGTGCCCATTGGCTCTTGTCCTTTCACTGGGCATCACTGAGAAGAGTCTGGTGCTATCTTCTTTACTTCCCCCCCGCCCCCAAATCAGATATTTATACACATTGATAAGGTCCCCCTGAACCTTCTTTTCCCCAAGCTCAGCAATCCCAGCTCTCTCAGCCTCTCCCCGTGTGACAGATGCTCCAAGCCTTTCATCTTCATGGCCTTTTGCTGGATTTACTTTAGTATATCCATGTCCTTCCTATACTGGAGCCCAGAACTGGACCCAATGCTCCAGATGTGTCTCATCAGTGCTGAGTAGAGGGGAAGGATCACCTCCCTCGATGTTCTGGCAGTGCTGTTCCTAATGCAGCCCACGAGGCCATTGACATTTCAATGACACAGAGCTGGCTTATGTTCAATTTCTTGTCTACCAGGACCCTAGGACACCAAGGTCCTTCTCTGCCAAGCTGCTTTCCAGCCAATTGGCCCCCTGCTTGTACCAGTGCACAGTTATTCCTCCCCAGATTCAGGACTTTGCACTGCCTTTTGTTGAACTTCATGAGATTCTTGTCAGCCCATTTCTCCAGCCTGCTGTGGTCCCTCTGAATTGCAATACAACCATCTGTTGTATCAGCTACTGCTCCCAGTATTGTTTCATCTGGGAACTTGCTGAGGGTGCACTCTGTCCCATCATCCACGCCATTAATGAAGGTGTTAAACAGTATTGGCCCCAGTATCAACCCCCTGGGGTACATGACTAATGTTGGGCTCCAGCTGGACTTTGTGCTGCTGGTCACAACCCTTTGAGCCTGGCAGTTCAGCCAGTTTTCAGTTCCTCTCGCTGTCCACTTTATCTAGTCCAGACTTCATCAGTTATCTATGAGAATGAGATGGGAGACAGTGTCAAAAGCCTTACTGAAGTTGAGATAAACAATACCCACTCTTCTTGCCTCATCTACTAGGCTAGTCATATCATCATAGAAGGCTATTAAGTTGGTCTGGCATGATTTCCCATTCATAAATCCATGCTGACTACTCCCAGTGACCTTCATGTCTTAAATAATGTTTGGGAATGGTTTCTATGATTATTTGCTCCATCACATGCCCAGAGACTGAGGTGAGGCTGACCGGCCTGTAGTTCCACAGCTCTTTCTTCTTGCCCTTCTTCAAGGTGGGAGTGGCATTTGCTTTCTTCCAGCCCCCAGGAACCTCTCCCAGTTGCCATGACTGTTCAAAGATTATTGAGATTGGCCTGGTTAGTAAAGTTACTGTACAAC